CGTGGTATCTCTCCAGTGGACCGAGCCATTCGTGCCGAAACATGGCTTTCGCACACTTAAAATGGTATAAGTACTAGATAGTCATTAGATTTTTTTCAGGTGATTCAGGATTTGCTCGACGTACGACGACCTTATGACACCATTAGTGGTGTTGAAGACAATTCCCCAGAAGCATTTTAAAATAACATACTTATTACTGCTCGCAATTCAGAAGAGAGGACAATTAGAGACGAAATTATGTACAATTGCTGAAGTTCAAAGGAGGCAAACTAGAAATTTTTCATCTAATACAGGTTTAAATCTAGGACGTAGGCAAAATATAGTGCCTCAAAGAGCCAATAGACTACCACAGACGGAGCCCTACAGGGCTGATGTTCAGCCACGGTGGAGGGGCAAGCGCAATGAAGTGCCACGGTCACGGCCTAAAGCAGGAGAAGGAACGGTGGTTTAGTCAGTAAGAGTCTGACACTATCTCGCCTTAACCTGGGCGGGCCTAAAGCAGGAGAAGTCATGATGATTTTCCCCTGACAAAAAAATATGATTATGATTTTATTTTATTTTGATTTTAAGTCAATTAGGGTTTTGTATGATTTTACTTTTTCCATTTATTACAATTTTTCCTTTTAATTTAGCCTTACGAGCCTAATTGTTAGGCCCTAGTTGATTTATTGTAACCCATAATTGTTTGAATGTACAATTGAGTTAAAGTCAAATAAATAAATAGTCAGTGATATGTGAGAATGGGTCTTTAACTAATAAAACTGCTAGTACTCGTTAAAATTCTTTAATTTAAATATAATAAAAAAGTTGGTTGAAACCTTCTTAAAAACTAAAACACAACTTCGTTGTTACACCCTATCTTGATGCCATGGCCTCTGCCAATGCTCATAATCCATTCCCGATTGAAACTACAGATCCAGCTAAAATTTAATCATTCCCTAGACTTCTCTTCAGAAATGCTTGCAAGATCTGTGCATTTGATTTTTGTAAATTCTTCCAATTGATTTGAAATTGTCTACTCTTCCACACACAGGAATCTCTCTGTGATGTTGAAGAATTCTATTCGCCGTTGTGATGTTGTGTGACGGGATGCTGAAAAGAGAACACCGATTACTATGTGCATTGATAAAATCTCTTTAACAAATTGCAGCTTTTCGCTGTCGTTTGTTCCAAAAATTAAGTTCTGTCTTCAACCTCTGATAGCTCAACTTCATCTTCCACCACACCAGTCCTGTCCTGCGCCTAGCTGCTGAGCTTCTTATGGCGCTTTTTTCTCAGACCAATACTACAAGCAGACATTTATATTAATAAAGAAGTTATTAAAAAAAGCCTTATTTTTATTATTATTAATAGTCAATGTAAAATTAAAATAAGATAAGTTATATAACCTTATAACCTATAACTTAAAATAGCGATGAATCTTGGCGTGCAAGGAGCACCCCAAGATTCATCGCTATTTTAAGTGGCTTGCATTAACGAATATTAAATGGTTTTAACATGCCAAAGTAAGCACTACTTAGGTACTTTACCTTCGTCCTCTGTTTATAAGTTTTGAAAGTGCCATCTATACTATTCAGGCACACGGCTAGTTCCTTCCACTAGCGTCGCTTTCGCTCTCTGGCACCTTGAGTTGTCAAGAAACCCTTCGCCAGCCAGGTTACAACCTGAGATGACGACGGGTGTGAGGAACGTATCTCATTTGGACTGAAACATTATTGTTTGATTAGAAAACAAAATAAACACTCTTTAATAAATATTATTTTTGAACTTTACAACCAGTAAAAAAACTTACTTCATGATTATTATGATGTCTCTTTTTATCGGCAAGCACGAAACAGAAAAAATATACGAATAAACCAAACGTGGACAAAATAATACAAAGCAAATGACAAAGAGTTTGTCAACAATGAATGAAGACATTATCTGTCAGTTTCTTTTTGGTAAACGTAGCACAGATTATATTCATCGCCTGAATTCACAGTTTTCTGTTTATTTTGTAATAATTAGCTGCCTTAAATTCCTTAAAATAATAAATTTCAATTTATACGTCATAATATCTAAAATTCTGTGTCAAAAACTTGTTAAAATAAAAACCGATAAATCTCGACTTACATTATGTGGAGTATGGTACTACACTAGTACCAGTTCTCTTCACTTCACTTCGCAAGTGCCTAGGTGATGCTTACAGAATGCAAAATCAACGCCATTTTGAACCTTATGCGAAGTGAGAGAGAATATCGACTTGACATGCGAGTTCGTGTTAGAATTTTATAGAATCGACGTGCTGATGATGATGATTCAAATATACAAGAATCAATGCATCAATTCTAAATATCTCTTCATCTGGACCCGGAAGACTTTAAGTATAAATGAATATGAAATGTAATAAATGACTGATAACCAATTATGCACGAATATTGTCGTATGTTTTAGTAAAAAAAAAAAACTTTTTTACATTAAAATGCAAATACCTCGTATATAAAGACATTAATGTAATTTGATGAGTTTACGATTCAATGACAGTATGACAAATTTGTCTACTGATAAACAGTTGCTCACTGCAACTTTAATGTAATGGGCAATTAACATATTATAATTACGAAAACGTGTCTTTAAACACTTCATCAGTTGCTATTGTCACAAAGTAGTTGAAAAAATGACTTTTATGAAATGGGTAAAACTTATGATATTTTTGGAGAATATCATAGGAGTGTACAGAAATTATTCTAGTCTGAGGGACACGAAGAAATATGTCATTGCCGTTCTAGTATTCTTTCAAAACTCTCTCTACTTTGTTATGATTTCTATCAAACTGTATTTTTTGTTTTTTCACCACAGTTACCTGAATTATATCTACGCATACTTTACTGCATCAATGTATGTCAATTCTGCAGCTTCTACTTGTTTTGCTCTTTACTACAGCTGTGAATTCGTAGCTTTTATCAAAAGCATTACGCAAGTCCATGAATGTTTCAAAGATGACGAAAAATTTAAATATTCTTTGAAGAAAACTTATGTTGTGGTTCTAATTTACTTTTTCTGTTGCATTTTATTCAATGTCTACAGATCTGTGGAGGTTTTACAAAAAATGTTTTCGCTAAATACGGGTCTATATTTGATCATTTTCATAGTGCAGACTATGTTGAAGTTTATTATCGCCCTGCAACAATTGTTGATGTATCTCTCCAGTATGATTGTTGTCCATTTGTGCGAATGTTTGATGTCGTTAGTGTCTAAAGCTGTACACAACGACCGATGGAATCTAACTAGTTGCAATAGTTTTAATAAGCTTACATCGGTCGAGATACAAAAATGGGTTGAACTTTACAGAGAAATTTCAAATTGTGAGAAAACCGCTACGCTTTGTTTTGGACGTCAGGTGTTTGAACTTGTTTTAATTCGTGGTTTTGCTTCTGTCATTTCACTACCTCCGCCACCTACCTGCTCTACTTTTCCTCCACTACCTACTCTACTCTACCATACACTATGCATTCACGCTGCCCTGCCTACCCTTCCCTTTGTTCTTCTGCTACTAACACGACTGTCTTTTATACGTATCAGTGATCGATTAGTAATTTTTCCACTCGTAATTAGTTGGAATAAATGTCTTGTTTTGTTTCAGTATTTATTTACACTTGTTTTGTCGATAATAAACTACGTTGTAATGCTCTATGACTTCGTTTACGTAATCATTTCAAAGGTGAGCTTAAATAGTCGAATAAATTTTAAGGAATTTCAAAATAAAGATTATATAGAATCAATATTATGAACCAATTGTTTGATCTATTTAGGAGGAAAAAATGGATTCTGTAAAAGCATTAATTTCTGTGACTTGCTACTTCTCATTTAATTTGATGCCCATTTTTGGTGGACAGAAGGCTCAAAACCAGGGAGTACAATTCCACCGACAGATAGCGCAGCTGTACAACAAACTGGTCGTTGGTGAGATATAGATTTATTATACTGTTTATATTATTATGTTCATATCAAAGAGCTGAAATAGGTGTGAAATAGTAAAATGATAATTATATAGAATTTTAGCAGTTACCCTCCAATTTTGAATCAGAGATTCCCTTGAAGTTTCATGTAACCGTTTGACCAAAACAGTTATTGGTCAAGAGTACGGAACAAAAAAAATATAGTACTTATAGGTGATGTGTTCTAGGTAACATTAAACTTACTCAGCATCTGTCCGGCCTCCACTTTAACAGATTGCTGTTAGGGACTGAGAATTAAACTATTTATCAAAATTACAGATTCTGAAGCAGAAGCAAAATTAATAAAGGATTTTTTACGAGTGATAAAGAAAGATCCTTTGAAGATCAAACTACTGGCAAAGGTGCCTCTGGGAACCCACATACTGCCCCTCCAACTCACCCTGATTGTGAATAATGTTATTATTTTATTGCAATTTAATCATGTTATTTAATTTGATAAACATGGATTACATAAATCTAGTGAAAATTTGGATTCTTTTTGGTTTAGTGGAACGATATACGCCAAAGTTCTGAAAAATACTTTCTTTATCATCGTCCCTACGACTAATATACAGATGAAGTTGGCAAATAGTTTTTTTATAAGATCTCATGACCGATAACGCCGTTAATGACTAAGGGCATTACTGTCATTAATAAACTAAAGGGCCTAGAAACTTCTCTGATAAAATAGAACAATGATAAATATGTGACCCACAAACGTTAGTACAAAAACGCCCACACAATTATTGCAATTATAAAAAAAACTGTCAAGCAAAAACAAGCCTTAAGTAAGACCATTACTCTTCATCTTCATAACCTTGTACTGTCATCGAGGCACTAATAATATTTATCCATTCAATTAGCCTTAAAAGTCCACTACGTGGCGGGTATGTATTTGAAAGGGACACACGGTAATATGATTAAGAAAATGTAATACATTAAACTAACGAGCCACAGAAACGCGTTTCTCAATTCATTAACATCGTGTCTCTCCAGAACAACTGCCACAGAAATATGTCCACGATGAATTTGTTTTACATATTGATTTATGCTGAAAATTTCATGTGCATCTATAGAAACTTTTTAAGTCTAACCAAAAATCAGAAGATCATAGCTATCACACGGATCATTGTTGAATTATCTCTGTCCATCGCTATCACAGTGAACAATGTCATTTTGAGTGATTTCGTTGATTTTGACTACAGTGATAAGGATAAATTGATGACAGACATATTGCAGTTTCTCACTTTGTTTAAGAGTCTCGTTATTGTCATTGGCGGAGTGGTAACTGCTGAAGCCTTCAGTAGATTTACTGATAACCTTCGAAAGCTACACAACTGTTTCAAAGATAATGAGTATTACGAAAATGCTGCTAAAAATCTGAGAGTCAAATGTCTTGTGGGATTTGTCGTGTTCACTGTAATGGGTGTTATACTTTTACTAGTTCGACTTATCGACTGGTATTCTTTGGAGACATATTTACTGAGAGAGATCATTATACTTGTGGTACATGAGCTGTGGGTGGATATACGCTACACATTGGAACATTTAGTTGTCTACTGCGCAATAACAACTACATACAACTATTTGAAATGTTTGAGCATTGCTGTCAATGATGTTTTAAAAAGATACAATGAGCAAGACAATACGGAGTCTAGTTCAGATGGAAACGAAGATATCGTTGATTTGCCTAAAAAGGTTAATTATTGGACGGAAAAGTATCAAAATATCATGGCGTGCTGTAAAAATATTTCATTGTGTTACCAAGAGTTGGTAAGTAGTAATTAACACCATCATGACTGCCTAGTCACAAGACGCCCACTGCTAAAGTGCTAAGTGCCCTTTTACTTAAAAGGTGTTCCTCAAGGTTCAATCGTAGGTTTTTTGTAACCGCATTATTATAAATTTTTATCTTGTATGCCTAAATCTTAATTTTATCTTATTATTTTAGTGTGTCCAAGGTTAGATTCTAAAAACCACTAAATTTTTTCAGCTTTTATTTTCTGTTGCCGTAGCAATGGTGCAGTGTATTTACTCAATGTATGGGATATTTAATGCGATAATAAAGAAGGTAACGTTTAGATATACTTATTATTATTAATGTGAACCAATATAATTGTATTAAACGAAATATATTAGTACAGATATGCTGACCACATATAAGCCATTCAATTAAACTCGATACGGTTCGAAACCGAATGAATACAATTACAAAGCTTGTTTGTGTTTTGTTGAAATATGTTCTTTATAGGATGTGCAACGAAGGCTTGGAACATCAAACATTGTATATTCGTTGATCTATCATATGTCAGCCACAATTACATTGCTGTTTGCCGGTCAAAAGCTACAGAATGAATTTAACAGTTTCAACAAAGCATTGGCTCTGCTCGCCTGTGAAGTGTCTTCACGTAAGTTAACATGTTCTTTCTGGTGTTTTTTATGATCATTGGTTAGGTAAATTATCGGCTTCTTATGGAAAGGATTTGCCACATTTGAGTCAGCAAAACTTTTTTAGAACAGATTTTTTAGGCTGTAGGAGAGCAAAGTAGTAGACGGATTACATGATGGTAAGCAATCAGTGTTGCACTTGGACGCTAACAGTATATTGAGAGACCTCAAAGACCCGACGAAACACTTTAGAGCCTGTTCCCTGTAAGTCTGTGGTATCACTACAGTCAAGAAGGCTAGATCATGCAAGTAATTTAGCACTTTAAAAAATGTGAATTCTATAAGAAATAAATTTTTCTTCAAGCCTAAGATTGAACTTTCTTATTTAAGCTTTATGTTTCAGATCACGCAAAATCCGAAACGAGACAATTGAAGGATCTCAATCGTTTGGTCACCACTAATCCTATCGTTATTAAATTCAGCACCTTCTCTTTGGGAATGTATCTCTTTCCTATGATGCTGTCTCTTTCTGCTACTTATATTGTAGTTATGCTACAGTTCAACCATGTCATATAATTCATTAATGCTTAATTTTATTAGTTTCTGTGTTTGTTGACATGTGTTGTTATTAGTTACTAGTCAATATTCTTAATGTACTCCGACTTGTCGCTCATTCATATTTTTTCTCAATTACCTTAATTGAGTTTGTATCAAGAATGACCTATCAAAAACTGGGCCCTATTTGTTTTCTACTATTTACATCAATGTGTTACAAAGGACTTTGTTCAGGAATGTATAGTAAATTCATGTATTAAATTATTGTTTTCATCTCGCTTCTCATTGCAAGAAACTCATAATTATAATTTTTTATTACTTATTAATATTTGATTTAGCATTATTAGCAGAAGTGTTGTGACGAACTTATTAGTTATGTTATACTTTATGATGTCCATGTAGTAAAAAAATGCCTTTACATTCTCAGAATACTTTATGTACGCATAAAAGTATTCTTTTTCTTAGTCAATCGTCCCTACAAAGAAAAGTTTTTCTATTTATTAATATCATGATCAAATAGATAGATATATAAAATGATTGTACCAAACATTTCCATTGGATAATTGTAATGTAAAATGTAACAACTTTCACGTAAAATGCAAACCATTATAAAATGACTGTCACAAAAGATATGAATCGTTGATGTTATCGTAGAAGTACATTCTAATTTTAGGGTCGTTTCACTAAATGACTTGATCAATAACTGTTAACTATTTGTGGACTGAAAACGTTTCTTTGCATCTTCCTCAAAATGATTTACTTCTTAATAAAAGCTGAACGAATGTTAGGTGTTCATAGAAACTTTGATTTTCTTAGTTTTATTCACAAGTTCTTTATTATCTTTCGTGTTATTTTTGAATTTGTTACATTGAGCTACGTTCACTACGAAAACTGTTACATTTTTGTCATTCCTCTAAGAGGAAATGGGAAAATAATAACGCCGGTCATATTTTTAGTGTTTTACATTGTTAATTTTTTGGGCGGGTTTGTTATAATGATTTACGGGATACGGAAATCTCGGTCTTTCAAATTGTTCTTCACAAACATCATGTCCTTGCACTACCGTTTCAAGACGGAATCTTTATTGTACAAAGAAAACTTGAAAAAAATGAAACGTATTGTTAAATTGGTAGTGATATTCCATAGTTGTGGTTGTGGTTTTATTTTTGTGACAAAAAGCCTTAACAAGATCTATTTGGAGCCCGAAACGATGACACTGTTATACTTCACTTTTACCTTCTTTGAAATTTATATAGAAATGCGTCAAGTTTTGGAAAACGTTGTGTTGTACGTATATGTCACGATGTTATATAACTTTTTGAAAACTGTTAACAATAGTATTAGTAAAGCTGTCGAGCAATATGATGTAGTAGAAAAGAGGGCATCTGAAGAGAGAAAAGATGGGAAAGATGGGAATAAACAAATTTTGACTATTCATGATTTGGATGAGTGGGCCATGAAGTATCGGGATTTAGTAACTTGCTCCAATAAACTCTCAGCGTGCTTCAGTAGTCAGGTAAAAACAATTGATTTTTTAGATTCAGCTAAGTTATTAATTCCTCTACTTTATGACACAGAACCCTGCTTTTGTCAATTACATGTCTATCATCATTATTACTTTTTACATACACCTACTTCTTTTGATTGCCGTGAACATAGAATTGTTTTGTAAACTAGTGATAATACCCAATATTTTTTTTAATATTAATTCTTATTTTGCAGATGTTATTTTCTTTATTCATATCATCTATACAATTGGTAACTTCAGTTTATGGAGTTTTCTGCTCTATTATGATTGGTGTAAGTACCTTTTACACAGTACTCTTTTTGTTTTCTAATATATATTTTAAAAATAGCTTCATGCTTTCGGGGAAATCAGTTTTATACAGAATACACACTGCCGTTTCACCCGCTGCTCTTTTAATCTATAGCCTTTCTTAATAAATGGACTATCCAATACAAAAAGAATTGTTCAATTTGAGCCAGTAGTTCCGGAAATTACCGCGTACAAACAACGAACAACAAATAAACTTTTGAGCTTTAAAATAATACAGTAAAGAAGCTTTAAAAAATAGCCAAAAATGCAGTTATGCTTACCATCAGGCTTGCTGTCAGCTTTATTACTTTTAATGGTACATCATAGCGTAGAATGCCAACAGATAGAGGTTTTTGGACTCGGTTTCTATTACTAATCTGCACAATCTCTGAGAAATGAATGAGAAATTTGCAATAATCTCCACACTCCACAAGTGATTAATGTAATCTGGCGAGGAATGCGTGCCAAATTATTTTTTTCATCTCGCATCCCATTGCATGAGACTAATTATATATTTTTATTGTTAATATTTGATTTCGCCTTATTAGCAGATATCTTGTGACGAACTCATTAGTTTATGACGTCCAAGTAGTGAAAGGAAAGGTGGGTTATGGGTAGGCATGCTCCATCGTAAGTCGCATCAACGCTTACCGATAAAAAGCCCCTAATTTAATAAAAATAATATTTGCAGGTTACTGACCACATAGTATTCTCAATGGTTGGTGCGTACGTTTTTTTATACGCAATATTCTCAGCGTATTTTGTCATATTCGCTGGTCAACACCTGCTAAACGAGAATGCTGTTATAAAGAAGAGTGTAGCGACGTTATACAGCACGTGGTCTACGCGTGAGTACTCGTATCAGCATAATCTTCGTCATCATCATCATCATCATCATCATCATCATAATCATCATCATCATCATCATCATCATCATCATCATCATCATCATAATCATCATCATCATCATCAGTTCATAGTCGCCACTTAAGCACCAGCCCATTCAAGGGGCCTCCTGATCGCCACTTGAATGCAGATTGGTCTACGCGTGAGTACTCGTATCAGCATAATCATCGTGATCATCATCATCATCATCATCAGTTCATAGTCGCCACTTGAGCACCAGCCCATTCAAGTGGCCTCCTGATCGCCACTTGAATGCAGATTGGTCTACGCGTGAGTACTCGTATCAGCATAATCATCGTCATCATCATCATCATCATGATCATCATCAGTATCATCAGTTCATAGTTGCCATTTGAGCACCAGCCCATCCAAGTGGCCTTCTGATCCCCACTTGAATGCAGATTTTTAGTGCATTGTTGGTACTTTGGTTCTTGTTGATGTGTTAATTTTCCATATTTTGTTTATTTTTTTATAAATTTTCGAATTGGTAATGAGTCCCTTATGTTTCCATATTAGCTGTAAATCAAAGGAAGTTAGGGTTTTTTTGCTAACTAGTTAATATAATTGGTAAGATCAAGGTATACTCACTAAAATTTTGTGACACTAATTAATTCGTGATTTGACGCAAATAGGAGATCCACACTGGCATAGTACCACGCCGTCTGGTACGCAAATAATCAGTAGCTGTCATTATCATCATCCAGAGAAAAAAACCATCATTCAAATCATTACTAATATTGTCAATATAAAAAATCTAAAACAAAACCAGAAAAAATATATAATTATATTATATTTTTTTTAGGTCCTCAAGCCCCAGAAACGAAACGCTTAAGGAACTTGAATAAACTGGTAAATGTAAACCCTATTCAGATAGAATACACCAACAAAATTGTCTTAGGCATGTACCTAGTTCCTATCATAATGTCACTCTCAGCTAGCTACGTTATTGTCGGCTTACAGTTCAACCATGTAATTTGAATCTTATGTTGATTGTGTTAAGCTTTATTAGCATTGTTAGTTTTTCCAAATTTAATTTATTTTATTTTTACATAATTGATTGGATTTTTTAAGCAGTCATTTTTTTTTATTATATAACGATATAAGATAATATCCCAAGTTAATATAATAAGTTTTGACAAATAAATAAATTAGATTTTAAGGCAAACAGACGAAATTTTTTTACGAGTAAATCGACTAGTTTCAAGTTACACCAGAGGCCTTAAAATTATAAGAAACGTGCTCGAAAATCGTCGCAGCTGCTTGGACATGGCCAAATGAGATGTGGTGTAATTTGAAACTAACAGATTTAGTTCAACGGTTCACCTGATAGGTTGAATACCAATTTAAAATACCACTTTAAAGTTAGATAAAATTGGGAAAAAATATGTAAGGTTCACATACAAAGTGTATTTTTAAAATCTCAGTCTAAAGTTTTGAAGAATTCAGATTTAGAAACATAGTTATTTGCCAGGTTTGTTAATGTTATACCTATATAGATTGTTTTATTTTGCACAGTGAGTGTTTTTTCTGTTTTATAATAAAATGAAGATATAACAAACAATTGTGTTTTATTTAGGAATCTATTATTCGTACGGTGACGATTTAATAAACAGAAGCGTCTTCACCCTTATCCTCATTTGCGTAGCGTACTCACGCAAACATATAAGAGTGCAGCAATCTACGACAAAAAGTCGAAAAGTTGATGTCTCGATGTAAACAAGGCCTTACTCATCTCTCAGGAGTCGAAACAACTGGAGTCCAAAAGGGCTGATGTCGCGCTCGATTTGCAACCCCGCGTGACACCAGTCCTATTGGACGCCAGTAGCAGATTCGGTCTGGAACAGGTGAAGGAACAGGATGGCGTTTAGTCAGTAAGAGTCAGATACTCGCTCTCGTCTCAATCTGGGCGGGAGCAGCCATTTGATGATTTTCCTAACACAGAAGGTGTTGAAATTACTGATCATAATACAATACATATTAGAAAGACCGAGTTACACATTCTAAAAGAGTCTTTTAGAATGTGTAACTCACATTCTAAATAAAAAAAAGTATGTATAAGTAATATCACGGAGAACACGTTACTCTTTAATTTATTTAAGTGCTGTTCCCAATCTTGTAGCTTTAGACTTATGATTAGGCAGATATATTGATAAGATTGATGTGTGAACATTATTGAAATTATTTTGAAGGCCAAAAACAGATTAATATACATATATAAAAGAGTTATCGTTTATCATTTTGTTGTCATGAGCAAGTATGTGTAGGAAATACTTGATTGCGCTGGAAATAATAGTAACTTTAATGACAATAAAAACAATAAATCAATCGAAATTCCAGTAGGAAATTAATATTTTCAGGTAAGAGTTAGATGTATGTAATCAAGATATGTAAGTTATTTCTGTACCTAATATCCTAAAATTATATTACTTGTAATCTTGTAAAAGAATATAACCCTTTATACCATAAAGCTATTGTCGCGAGCGTGTGTATCTCATTACAGGCGTAACCAAAAAAAGAGTTATTTTAAAATGAAACAAACAGTACTGTCCTTATTGGTGAGAGCAGAAAACCTTTTGTGTGTATACAGAAACTATGATTCGGAACCCAAATATCGAAAAATAAGAATACTACGTATTATTTTCGAAATGGTATTATTTGCTGCCATAATATTAGTTGGGACTTACGAACTTATTAGCAACGAGCCACCAAGTAATGGGATGTTTTATTACATGGTCTCGATCCACTATGCGAATTATTTTTGCGCGTGCACGACTTACGTTTGTGCGGTGCGAAATTCACGCGCTTACAAAACTTTTGCGCAAAACATTCTTGCAGTTTATCAGCATCGCAGGACAAAATCTAGTCAGAACTGTTCAAGGAAATTGAAAAATATCTTCATTATTACAATTACCTTGCTTACTAGCCTTGGCATATGCCTTTTAGGCCTTAGAATTATACATAAACAGCTGTTACGGAAAGACACACCAACAGTTAGACTCGTAGCCCTTTTATGCACAGAAATTATTTCTGAAATTCGGTTCTCCATGGAACACGTTATTTTCTACGTGTACATAAGTATGATTCAGCATATGTTGGGTTTTCTGAACAAGTACATAATGGATTTACAAGTCTGGTATGAGAGTAATGAGAAGGATTTGAGTTCTGGAAAAAGTTTGACCAATGGTCCTTTGACAGAAGAACGAATTGAAGCGTGGGCTAGCGATTATATGAAGCTAGTTACCTGCAGCAAGAGTTTATCGAAGTGTTTTAGTATTCAGGTAACATTTTTTTAGACTTACATCTACTGCTGCACCTATGTGTTTTTCTTAAAGAGGTTTCTAATTATTCTAGGACTGGTTAAAAAAAATAGCAATCGCATTTTCGTAACGAAATTTTAGAGCATATAGGGCTGTCCGTTTTTCCGAAGCTTATTGCAGTTCCAAGACATAGGTAATCATCATCACCCTCACCATATCAGCCTTAATACGTTCAAACATAGGCGTACCGCAAATAAATTACATGATAAAGTTACATACAGCAGCGGGCGCGGTACATAGGTCGTACAACCGTCGGCCTTTGGGGTAAAAAGATTACGAATAGAGATTACGTACCGGTAGGCGCACAAAATAGATATACGACCTCTTAAGGCTTACAGAAAACCATTGGGAGTATTAATGAACTTCTAAATATGATCATTTAGCGCCACCCTTGCTCGCCGACCTGCGCTTACTGTTGTCGGAGATCGTCACTCGATCCCGACGCCCGGAGTATTGCCTGATGTGATGGCTGGCGCAAACGCGTGACGTTACGCGTTGGATCGTGCGTTCACTGTACATTGCAGAAACAGACTCCGTGATGCTTCATATAAACAAAACCATAATACTCATATGGATATTACGAGCAATTTATGACGGAAGCACGACGCTCCACGGAGCGCTGCTCCTGACCGTTAATGAGGTCTAAGTGTTAGTAAATGGTTAATTTGTTCCAGATGATATACTCTCTATGCCTGTCGTCGATACATTTCATCTCTTCATCCTACAACATTTTGTGCATTCTTATTACAAATGTAAGTTATCAATTTGAGAGTTTTATTTAGTATCATACTGCTTCATTTTCTCATTTTATGTTATATACGTTTTCTCTTTTTCCATTCGCCAAGCTGTATCTCAAATGATATTTTAACCGACTTCTAATTTTTTTGCTTTTTTTAACCTATATTGTAATGTTATATAACAATACAGGTTAAAAAAAAATTACGAGTTTGTACAAAACCAGTGTAACTTCTGTTTGAATAAATTATTGTTAAAAAGTTACAGAATTTGAAATATAAGTTCTTAGCATTTATTCAAAGTTCTTTTTTCAATTCAATTTTTTTTCCAGGAACCGTATAAGTTACTTGGAATATTTCAAACATGTTTCGTGTTTGTCTATGCGTTGTGTAGTACTAATGCTGTCCTGTATAGCGGCCAACAGCTACTCAATGAAGCTGCTAAGACAAGGACGAGCTTGCTTAAATTGAACAATATCCTGTCCATATGTAAGTATCTATGTTCGTAGCTGCATCATCAGCACGTCGATTCTATAAAATTTGTTTGATTTTGAATCTTGTTCGAGTCCGAAGTGAGCGTCGAAGTGACGGGGAAATAAAATTTTAGAATGCCACTTTTAACGTCATCTCATACTTTATCTATCAAAATGTTGCTGTCAATTTAGTTCAACTCGCAACTGTAGCGCTAGTGTACTACTACTCACGGCGGATTCAGATTCGAAGTTTAGAATGAAGTCTTACAGAATCACACTACAGGTCGTTCACTGCTAGACAGTCTCTGCAATTGTACGCCACAGACACACGGTTTCCGAAAGGCCGATCAATGTTAAAATAAATTTAATCTCTTTTTAAGTCATATGATTGGTTAACTGAATTATCAACAACCAATCAGATGACTTGACAAGAGATTTGACACCTAGTTAGTTGATTTTAACATTGATCGGGCTTTCGGAAACCGAGCATTAGTGTGGGATAGCCAAGCTTCGGCAGAAGTGGGTTAGGTCGAAAGGAGTGATATCGCCGCCTTCCAGAAAACCAGCGTGAAACCACCACAACGTTGTGTTTCATCGTGTGAATGAGGTTACCGGAGGTCCACTCCTTCTCCTCCCCTATCCCTTCACTACTCAAGCACTAAATTTACGAAACCCTAATCCCCAAAAATGCGATAGGTCGCATAAAAAAAACTAAGCTTAATATTCAGCCTTACTCACCCAACCACTGTCAGCCACCTCACGGATATCGTCAGTCCAAATAGCTGGAAAGTCACATATACTTACTAAGTTTTTCCAGACACGGTCTCCAGTTTTGAATATGTCTACCTGAACAAGTGAAATGTCAACTTTATTTTCTATAGGACAAGATTTACATTTTATAAGCGATTCGTCTAACAGCCGCTTTACTGACCTCTTAGGGCCTTGTTTACGGATACGCAACGCGTTGCGCGGTTCATCATGCATTTGTCGTACATTGCCGCAACGAACTTTAGCATTACCTTTGAACACAAATATTATGAGCAATGTATTATGTATCGCATGACGTGCCGTGTTACGCGTCGCGTAGCGTTTTGGTGTGAAATACAATAAGATTTATAATCATTTAATTTTTGTTAGTTATTTTATTGACGTCTTTGCTTTATAGGGCTTTTTACTGTAACCAAACAGAGATACATAAATAAAAAAAAAATACTTCGCTAGACTCCAAGTTGAAACCTTTTTATTCACCAATCCTATCCTCCTTATTTATTATATAATGTGAACTACTTAGGTTTTATAATTTTTGTTCATTTACAGATCCAACATCGAAAACGAAGCCAATCAAGAATCTATATCTCCTAGTGAACTCAAACCCAATAAAAATAGAGTACACAGGAAAAGTTGTGCAAGGGATGTACTTAATCCCTATGATATTATCACTATCAGTCAGCTATGTTATCATCGCACTGCAGTTTAATCATCTTATATAATGTTTTAAGCACTACGATTAATTAAAAAAAATGCGGTAGAATAAGGATGATAACTACTAGTGAAATTAATTACTTTTATCGAAATGATAAAACCGATAGGACTATTGAAAATATAAACCTTATACATGAATCAATTGAGAAAAACACGACATGTTTGAAGTACAGCTTTATTTACCAGTTTGAGTAAGTCGTAATTTCCAATTAATTTTGTGTCTCACGATAGTTATATTCTTTGACAACTATCAATTTTGTACAGTAACTGTTGTTAGATATAATCAATTATTTGTGCGATTTTAAGCTTAAGTAATAGATTAGTATGATATGAGACGCAAAAATGAAATAACGTCAAAACTTGGATTCAAGTTTTAATTACAACTTAATCATGTAAAATAATTGAGCAAAGCTCTATTAGTTTCAAGTCACAACGGAGCTCGTATTCATAAGCAACATGCGCGACGAACCAGTTGCTCCGACGTCGAGTCCTGACGATGAGATTTCCTTGAAAAAGTCGTTATTTTCAATACTAATGGGTGTCTATAAATAAATTCGAGATTCCTAGTTGTGACGTCATGGTTTTTGATTAAAAGCTAATTGAAACCAATTATTAACAGTATTGTGATTTTTTGTTTATTCCCATGATGAACTTTATGATATAGATATTAGGTTGTAATTTTGATTGTATTTTTGCTGTAGATATGCTTTTTATAAAAACATGTGTCATGACGTCATGTATTAAAATGACGCCACAGAAAACCGGCGTGAAACAACGCTTACTTTTTGTTTCGCTGGCTGAGTGAGGTTACCTATATGTTTGAGAATTTATTTTTATGGCTTTTATGTGGAAACGTCATCTATGTTAAAAATATAAGTGCATTAAATGAATGATGTTCTATGAGTAAATAAAAAACTCAAAATATGAATAACATAATTATGTAGGTACGTATATAGCAATACTAAGTATTTACAAAGCAAACATCAAGTGCTGGCATTTTAATTTCAACAGTCATGTAATTGTCATTTTTCACGTAAAGTTGAATGACAGACACTAAGACAACACAATTATCTGATGACCTTACATTTAATATGATTATTTTCCGACTCATCTACTTATATAAGGAAGTAATATATAAAAAAATAATTGAACTGTTACATCCACGAAATACAAACTACTCAAATAATGTAAATTAAGAAATTTCCGATAAAAACGTTACATTTGAAGCTCACGATCCGAATCAAATCAACGTCAAAATGGAAAACGAAGTTGTAAAAACGTTATTAGCCGTCGAAAACGTTATAGGAGTTTATCGAAATTATACGCTATTTAGCAGAAGACGGAGATTTCTAAGTGTTATACGGATTATTATAGAAATGTTAATATCTACTGGTCTAACGGTGAATAATGCTATGATGGTGATATACAATCGTAATCATCATAAAGAAACGCCAGCTCGTATGACGTTTTTCTACCATTTGCTGATATATTTCACGAATTTCTTCTTAATGGTCTGCGGTACACTAAGCTCGCGTCATTTCGAAAATTTCATCCTCAATTTCGTAGTTCTACATTCAAAAAATAAACATAACTATAACTACATGAAAAGTTTGCGTAGTAAAAAAATAAAATTACTTGCAATTCTAACTGCGTGTTTTGTGACTTGCATGTTTTTTTTAACATTGAAAATGTTATCTAGTTTTTATTGGAAAAGAACTTGTTATAGTTTTGCTCTAGGTTTCTTGATATTGTCCGAAGTTATTGCTGAGATACGATTCATGTTCGAACAAATAGTTTTTTATATATACATTTGGTTGTTGCGTTTCGTTCTGAAGAGTATGAACGAAGATTTGACAGACGTCCATATGAAATGTGAGATGAGGGAGAATCAATTGGTGATAAATGGAAATAGTGATGATTTCATATCTGTAGTAGAAGTGGAAGAGTGGGCTTTGAGATATCAACATTTAGTGAATTGCAGCAAAAATTTGTCAGCTTGTTTTAAATATCAGGTACGTTTTATTTATTCTTAGTCTTAATATTATGGAGGCAAATAGCAGTCACTACTATTTGTCTCTGTAGGAATATATTTAATTCAATTTCTGCATACATGCCTGGGGTATTGTGTTTTATGTTTTCTTTGAACCGCTAAAAATTGGAAATCGCGTCTTTTTCCCGAAACATATTTAAACTGTCTTCAATGTCCAAATGTCGTTCATGATCGCTTATGGGCGCCGCAAGATTTTTGTCATGCAGTAGCCTAAATAGCAGCTAAACTTTAAAAAAGTTGATAAATTTGCCAATATTAGATTCAATGGAATCAAATCCGTCAATGAACAGACATGAAAAAAGTCATAACGCCATGTACAAAACCTTCACTGGATACTTTGTAGTAAAGGATTTATTTACCTGTATTTTTAACGTTTTAGAAATTTGTATACACACCGAGCAAAAAACATTTTGAATTATCTACTAAATTTTATTACGATTTCAGATGTTGCTATCTCTGAGTGTGGCCACTATACATTTTGTTGAGACGTCGTACGTTTTCTTCCACACTTTGATAATATCGGTAAGGAATACAATCATATTAGAACACAAACTTGTAGAAATCGGGTTGGCTAAACTATTATTGCGTTTTTTAACCTCTTTATCTGATATTTCTCATTCTAGTGCAAAATGAAAAATTTCATCATTTCATATATTATTACTACTAAAAGTTCCAACCGAATCTTTCCCAGCTTTTATCTAAATGCCTAAAATGCAGTTTGCATACTTGCAACTTCTCTGGTGTTGCAGGTATCAATGAGCGGCGCTGATTGCTTACAATCTCGTTGTCCGTCTTATGCCATTTAAAAATGTATAAGTATATGAAAAAACTAGTGTCCGACCGAAACTGGTTTCCCGGCCGAAACCGAAACCGAAACCGAATGTTCGGCCGTGGCTTCAGTTTCGGCCGAAACCGAAACCGAAACCGAAACTAACGTGGCAATACCTATAAATATCTTAAAATACTGAAATTTGGTGCATTGTACCTATTATTTTGGCTTAATTAGGTTGTTGTAAATATTAGGTTTGTTGTAATCATTTATCTATACTTATAATAAATCTGTACAGAGGTCAATTCTGTACATTAAATATACTTTCAGAATAACTACCAGGGCATGATAAGTGATTGATACTGATACCAAAAATGCAATCAGTAAAATTTTTGTCTGTCTGTATGTTCCTTATAATAGGAGCAGAACAGTGAAGGAAAAATGTTGGGAAAATGGGAGAAGTTACTCCTTTTTGTAAGTTTCCGTCGCTTGTGTAACCGCACCTTATTGGTTAAAGTTACATAGAAATTATGTATGACGAAAATATTTTACATCAAATTTAAAAAAATATCTAAAAAAAATGTTATGCAGCATATATTTATCTTTTATGGTTAACTCACAATAGCACGTGTAACTCCTAATAGCAGTTCTGATAATGAATCATGCTAAAAGGACTATTTTTGTGTAACGGTTGCCGCGCTCAACGCGACGCGCAACGACTCGGTGTATAATGTAATATAATAGGTTTTGTGAAATTTTTGTAACTTACGTCTTGGTTAGATCCGTTGACGTTAGACCATTCTATCTATGTAATTTACCCATAAAAATGAGACGATTAATAAAAAAAATATAACCGCACAAATAACCGGTCTCGTGAGTTTGGAAATAAAACCGCAGTTCCGCTACCGCGGCGGGCACGGTTCAAAATCGCTCCGTGAGTTCTTAGCCTAATACTTTGGATTTTATTTGTACTTAGAAGAATAATCAATCTCTTTTAGGGTATCTCTTATATAAAAATAATAATTACTATCACACCCAGTTCCTGTCTCAACATAGATAATCAAAAATCACATATTTAGAATTAACAAAGTTACCTAAACCACAATTAGTAGGACATCGTGCACAATTAGTAGGACAGGCAGGCAGTTATGCTTGCGTGAACTTGCCAAATAAGTTTCGGTTTCGGCAAAAGTTTCGGCCGATCTTGGCCGAAACCGAAACTGCGGCCGAAACTTGATTTTTAGCCGAAACTCGGCCGAAACCGAAACTGAAACCGAAATTTCGGTCGGACACTAGAAAAAACGTCTCCAGTCAGCTACAGTTCTTTTTCCTCTTTTTCCCAATCCTCATTCCCGAAGAGAGCGACAACGAGAACGTAACTCTTCTGGTGTGGCGGGAGTCCATTGGTATCACTAATTGCTTACCATCAGGGAATTCTTGGCTCGATTACCGTCTTGTACAATTCAAATAACTCTCTACTTCTGTCCAGCACTTTAGGGGATCTCGTCATCATCATCAGCATCATCATCATCAGCCTGATGTTGTCTACTGCTGGACATAGACCTCCCCAATTACACGCCACTGAGCTCGATGTTCAGCTCTTCTCATCCAATCACTGCCAGTTATCCTGCGTATGTCGTCAGTCCACCTAGCTGGAGGGCGCCTTACACTACGTTGGCTTAGCCACGATCTCCACTCTAGAACACGTTTACCCTAACGGTCATCGGTTCTTCGAAAGATGTGACCTGTCCACTGCTACGTCAGTTTGCTAATCCTAGGGGATCTCACGTTTTGTAAATTCTCATTTATGTTCCAGAAAAACATTTTTGGCTTCAGTTTTGTAAACATAGTCTACGTACAGACTTACCTATTGGGGTGTACCATAGCGGTTATCTATGGAGGGCAACGTTTGCTGAACGAGGGGTTGAAGTTTCAAAGAATTATTTCCAAGTTGACTAACACGTTAACTACAGGTGAGTTATTATAAATATTACTAATCTTTGTTTCATCGTCATTATCAAATCACCCACAATACACCCACTGCTAAATATAGGCCATCGAAATTAATTCTGGATCGACCAGTTGCAAAAACGCCATGGTTATAACACGCCACTTTTCTGTGAGATAGTCACACCGACGTGTCGCAGATTCAACAATATACGGAACAATACGAATCCAATATAATAATGCGTTCAGGATGTTGATAGGACTGCCCCGTTTCTGCAGTGCTTGTGGCATGTTCACACACACACACTTTGATGACTTTCATGCCATCATTAGACAAAAATCTGCCTCGCTGCTCTGCAGAGTACGGGCTAGTTCCAACTCCATCCTAAACCATTGCAGGAAGGTTCGATTCACCTATGTTGTATGGCATTATGTGAAGATGTATTTCCAACAAGAGACTTGTAACTATAAAAAATACTAACATAGTTTAAAGATATCTTTTTTACTAACCCCTATGGATACTTGTCCAAAATTCACCAACGATATAGGAGAAAAACCTTATGTAGTATACGTTAAAAAAAATGTTCTTTCTTTTCAGATGCCCCATCTCAAGTGGCAGATGCTGTTACCAAACTCCAGCTCTTCGTGAAAATAAATCCTATCCGAATAGAATATACGAAGAAACTAGTGCTGAAGATGCACCTGGTTCCAATTATACTATCATTATCAGCTACTTATATTATAACAATTTTACAATTCACTCATGTGATTTAAGTTTAATAGGTAACTGATTATACCCAATTCGTAAAACCACCTAATACCTAAGCGTATAATTGTTTATTAAAATAGGACAAATACAAGTAGCGAATAGCGAATCCATACAATTATAATTTTGTTATTTATATACAAAGTGGGAAATAACCATGTGTCGGCGCTAATGGGGCGGCTCGACCGGTCGAGTGATATCACGGCCTCACAAAATATTGACGTGAAACAATGCTTTAGGTGGTACTTCTCCTTGTGAGTGAGGTTACTGGAGGCCCAATTCTTCGCCCCATCCTCATCCCCAATTACCAAATTCTCTATCCTTGTGTGCCTAATAACCCAAAGGTCGGCAACACGCACTTGTAATAATTCTCTCGACCCGCCTGGCAGGGCGGGAGAAGTAATTTGATGATTGTAGTATATATTTTTAATTTTATTTTTTAAAAACGTTGCCCCACACTTGGATTTTCTCGTGTCGTGGGTGCGTTTATAAACATACGATTTCACATATACATGACACCCAGACCCGGAACAACAGAACCCAGTCATTACTATTGTAGATAACATATAAAACTACAAAACAATTACTGCAATCCCGAAACACTAAAAACCAAAACACAAAACTTTCCTTAACAAGCAAAACTATTGCAAAACTGGAACTCACGAATACGCAATTATTAAAAAAAGTTTTTAAAATCGGACACAACTGCCAATCAATCAGTCACGACACTCACAACCGATCACAACGGACGACTGACGAGCGACGCGTGACACCCGGCCGTTAAATGTAAAAATTATTGCAGGTAGGCAGTTGCATTGCAGTAAAAATTCAAGTACCCACACTTTGTTTATTCAATAAAATAAATAGTGAAAAACGATCTTAATTCAAAAAGGATAGAGAATATTTTTCATTATTTCAGATATTTTTTTATTAAAATCATAGATTTTAGATTAAACATAGGTTTGTAAATTTTTAATTCTAATGTAGCAGCGTAGTGCTCATAAAATTATTTAAATTTAAATTATGATTTAGATAGGAATATTGTTTTAGCACTGTTCATAAAATAAATAAATTATTAACGTGTCGAATTTTTTATTATTATGATTAGGCAAGCGTTTGCGTTTCAGTGTTTTCAGTCTGTAGCGCAACAAAATTGAGATGTACCTATATATTGTTATAAAGAACAATATAACTACCTACCCATAACTACTTTTATATAAAATGTGTTTTTACACTCTTTTTTATAACGCAGTGTAAAGTACAAGAATGCTTCGTAACTTGGCTTGGAACTTCCTCTCGCCTCATCATGAGCGAGAGAAGATATTTGATGATTTTTCCCTCAAAAAACAAACAAAAGTACATAAAATCGAAGACTCGTTGCAAGACCGTCGCATTGGTAGCTCATTTGTTTAAGGAATAGGAGGCAAACGAGCTGATGGATCACCTGGTGGTTAGTGATCGCGCCACCCAAGGACGCCTGCAACAACGTTGGAGGCGGATAGTGAGAGACATGATAGCCGTGCCATGGTTGCTGGCTTTCTAAGCGAGGGTATTCCTTGTACGCTCGTTTTTTGAAGATTGCAAGGCCGTATCGGCTCGGAAATACCGCCACAATTGCACATTTCTAGCTACTTAATTAAATATCCTTAAAAAAGAATCTATATATTTTAACTGTTAAATAAACATGTTTTACCTCGATTAGCTCCCAAGAATTTTTCCACCAAAATTTTTCAAGTACTACCTACTGGAATCGCCAAATTGGTTACTATTAAAAATAGATGAAAAAAATAATTTTATCTATCTTTTAGAAGGACGTGTAAAATTGTAGGAAATTACAATTTACGGTAAATATGTAGGTACGTATAAGCATCAATTTGTTCCTAATAAAAGTAATTTTGTCTAAAAAGTTAGAAATAATTTGATATTCGGTTTTTAATATGTCAAAATTAGTACTTCAATTTGACTAACGACTTATTTTTACATAGTCCTACTAATGTTATTACCGAGAATGTCTGTAGATATGATAGAATAGGACGTTTGTCATTTTGTCACGTAAAAACTATGGATTTAATTTTGGCCACAGGCAGAAGCTAATTTTAAAACAGTTTTCATGAGAATGCCTTGTTGGTCTTGTAATTATGAGACACGCAACTGCCGACTAAGGACTCTCGGGTTCGATTCCCGGGTGGGATAAATTTTCGAATTCACAATAACAGGAGAGTCTTATTTAAAATTATATTTAAATTTTGTTGGTAGCAATGTAATATTTTTCTATTGTTTTATTGCGTTGGTAACACTTCTTCCGAGTTCTTACTTCTACTGTCATGGCGTATATTGTCTGCCTTTGTAAGAGCGTCTATTGTCTAAATAAAAGTCTTCTTGTTGTTTAAAGATTGTTTTACTTACATAACTATAGGTTATGGGCCCAGGCACATAATCCAGAGAAAAAGTAAAACAATCGAAACTATTTTTGTCAAAAAAAAACAAAAGTGAAAATTGTCCGCGTGTGGTTGAGGTTAGAAACCGGCCGGCGGCGGCAAGAAAAAATACTTGCGAGTGATTGAAGCAAGGTCGGGACGAACAGACAGGAAGATGACGGAGGACAATTCGTTAAAATTCCAAACGTACATAAAGCTCGAGGGAACATCTAACTGGAATATTTGGAAATTCCAAACCATCGTTTTGTTACGGAGTCAAGGTTTACTAGAAGTGACAGACGGAAGCAGTGTGAAACCAGAGGAGCCGGTTGAAAAGGCTGCATGGGAAAAGAAAGACGCGAAGGCTCAATCATGGCTCGTAACAAGAATGTCAGAAAGCGTGATGATGCATATCATAACGTGTACTACGTCAGCCGAAATGTGGCGAAAACTGACGAGCGTGTACGAGCAAAAATCTGAAACAAGCATACATATCGTACAACAACGTTTCTTCCAATACAAGTACGAGGAGGGCACGGCGATGTCTACGTTCTTATCTAAAATAGAAGAATTAAGAAACCAGCTCAAACAGATGGGAGAAGACATTTCAGAAAAATTCGTAATAACAAAAGTGCTAATGTCTCTTCCAGATGCCTATAAACATTTTGTATCGGCGTGGGAGTCGGCGCCCGACGATAAACAAACGCTAGAAAATCTTGTCGCGAGATTACTGATCGAAGAAGAACGTATTAATGACAAGGAGCCTCAATATTCGTCAGCATCAGCGTTTGTAGCTAAGAAAAACATTAAGTGTTATAAGTGTAATAAGCTGGGACACTATCAAAGTGAGTGTAATCAAAACAAGAGTTCGGGTTCGGGACAGGACAAAAGACCGGTTAAAAGGTGTTATTATTGTAAAAAAATTGGACATACTAAAAGTGAGTGCTATTTCAAGAAGAATCGGGAAAAAGACAGTACGAGTAATGCATTTATGGCGATGAACTCTAATAGTAACGATCAAGAATCTAAGTGGTTAGTGGACTCCGGCGCTAGCCAACATATGTGCCGTGATCGTAACCTATTTGCGTCATACATATCAATGAACAATAAAACAGTGATAGTCGGAAATGGCGAGGAGATTAGTGTGCACGGGTGTGGACAGGTGGCGGTACAGGTGTGCAATGGCCGCGAGTGGGTAAACACCACCATAGAAAACGTACTCTATGTTCCGAAATTGAAAACAAATTTGTTATCTGTCAAATGCGCTACAGAGAGAGGTTATGTTGTTAAAATGGACAATAATTTGTGTAAATTCTACAAAACAAATACTGTGTGTGCCGTGGCGAAGCGTATCGGAGATATGTATTATATGGACGTGCGCTATAAATGTGAGAAAGCGAACGCTATTGAAGTGAAATCTGGACTAAAAGAGTGGCATGAAAAACTCGCTCATCAAAACCTACAGTATGTGAGAAAGGTGCTTAAAAACAATAACATTGAAGTGAAAGACTCTGATTTTGTGTGTGAGGGTTGCTTGGAAGGCAAAATACATCGTTTGCCTTTCAGTAGCAGTCAAAATAAAACGAGTAGGCCATGTGAGTTAATACATGCAGATACATGTGGACCTATGGAGGTTCCGTCTGTGGGAGGATCCAGATACTTCGTAATTCTAAAGGATGACTTCTCTAACTACAGGTCAGTGTACTTTGTTAAAGGCAAAGATGAAGTCAAGAAGTGTATTGAGAACTTTTTGTACAAGGCTGAAAATGTAACCAAGAACAAAGTATTGTGTTTTAGAAGTGACAATGGATTAGAGTTCATGAACAAAGATGTTAAAAATTTTTTTGAGAAGCGTGGAATAACCCATCAAACCACGGTTCCATACACTCCTGAACAAAACGGCAAGGCCGAACGTGAGAATCGTACCCTAATAGAATCAGCACGTACAATGTTGTGTGCAGCAGGTTTACCTAAGAAGCTGTGGGCAGAAGCTGTTCATACTGCTGCATATGTACTAAACAGAACAAGTCAAAGCAATGAAACCGGAAAGACCCCATATGAAACATGGACAGGCAAACAATTTGATATAACGAGTCTTAAAATCTTTGGAAATCCTGTGTATGTACATGTTCCAAAAGAGAAGAGAAGAAAATGGGATCCTAAAGGAGAGAAAGCAGTCATGGTCGGCTACGATGAAAATGTCAAGGGCTACAGGATATTCTTCTCAGAAAAGAACACTGTTGAGGTCAAAAGAGATATCATATTTCTAGAAAAAGGTGAAACACAGAAGGAGCAATTAGTTATGCTGGACACTACAATGGAAGAGGAGAAGGACACTAGTCAGGAACATTCTAAATACAGGGAGAAGGCTGAAGATCAAGGAAAGAGGGTGGAGAGAGAAGAAGCACAGACTGAACAGGTAGACGAGACCTTAAATGTGTCTAACGAAAGTGGCAGTGTCTACAT